AGCGTTTCGTGTTCGTTTTGACTTCGTGTGGACGGGGCCTTAAATGTCTTCATTTTATCTAGAGTCGTTGACCTCTACAGCCCCTTCAAAGTTTCCATGAACTTCCTGTCTGCTTCTCTCCTCCCTCTTCCTGATTGGCTGGATGGTCGTGTCAACCAAACAGTTTATGGTTTATAGTTTAAAATACGGCTTTTTACTCTATGCAGCCTGATCAATGACCTGCAAACTAATATGCTTTATTTATGTCTGAAACTGATCCTACTTGAACTGTAGTAAATATAATATAACTTTATTTTCAAAATGCTTTCAAACAAAGCGCTTAAGAGCATGTGACAGAAAATAATCAAATAAAAAAAAACCAAAAAGGAAAATAAGTCTGCCGAATGTGAAGAGGGAGATTGATCTATAAAGGTAAGGGAAGGAAAAAACACTGCCTAGAGATTTCCTCCTATCCTTAAATTGAGTTCCGACTGAATTTGTTTTTAAAGATTGACGTTACCCCTACATAGAGGGCAGCTAAGGAGCGTTGGGAGGTAAAGTCAGGCGAAGGAAAGGTTTTCTAGAGAGGTGAAAGGTGTGTTTTTGCCAATAACAGCGAAGCTGCATCTGCAAAGGTCTCCTACTATGTGAATTGCTGTCGCTCAGCAGGTGAAAAGCACCTGGAATTGAATATTTTTTCACTGGTTTCCAGTTTTATGCAAACGCAACATTAGGAACTTTAAGAAAAAAGGTGCACTGAGATCAAAAGCACAGGGCGCAGTGGCGGAGCTAGACTTTTCTGTAAGGGGTGGCAAGGGTAAGAAGCCACCAGGTCATTTAGGGCCTTTTAGGTGAGCAGCATTAGCAGATAGATTTCAAAATCAGCTTCAACTTAACTAGGCCACCAGTGAAGAATGTAGTAACTGTGACAAAAAGTTCATATTTTCCTATTGTAATCATGATGCAAGCAGCTGCGTTTTTGAACCATCTACAGGACTCTAAAACTGAAAGGGTCAACGTGCAAAGAAGCAAATGCATGGGTAAGAAAGTCTGCATTTATGAAAGATAAACACTCCCTTTTTCCATTTGATCCTTTTACTTAAACAGGGACAGTACACAATAGGCATTAACCTCAGAACGGAGAGCTGCATTACAATAGGTTATAACACATTTATTAATTTCCCTCTCTAGTTCCTGAGCAGGCTTATGTTAGAAAAAAAACATGTAGCGCATTTCTCACAAGAGCATAATATTGTAACATATACATCCATTTACAATGACACTATCTTAGACATTCATTTTCAATTAAGGGAACATTTCTGACTTGAAAGAAGTGATTTTCCAACATCATTTGAAAAAGTGTGAACATTTAAACAAGTGGTGAGTTATGTTGGTCCCATATTCTACTCTGTAACGGCAACACATGGCAATGCTGAGTTTCTTAAAGCTGTCTTTAGGTACACTTCACATGCCCTGAGCAGCTGGCTGAGCAACACTTATTAGAATATGCTTTGCAAATAAATGACAATGATGAAATAAGTGAAATTTCTTGTCATGACATACACTAGTCAAAAAAATGAAAGGAACACTTTGTAATCAGAGTATAGCATGAAGTTAATAAACTTCTAGGATATTGATTTGGTCAGGTAAGTAGCAGAGGGCGTTGTTAATCAGTTTCAGCTGCTTTGGTGTTAATGAAATTAGCAACAGGTGCACTAGAGGGACAACAACGAGACAACCATCAAAACAGGTATGGTTTTACAGGTGGAGGCCACTGACATTTTTTCCCCCTCCTCATCTTTTCTGACTCTTTTTCACCAGTTTTGCATTTGGCTAGGGTCAGTGTCACTAATGTTAGCATGAGGTGCTACCTGGACCCTACAGAGTTTGCACAGGCAGTCCAACTTCTCCAGGATGGCTCATCAATACGATTCATTGCCAGAAGGTTTGTTGTGTCTCCCAGCACAACCTCAAGAGCATGGAGGAGATTCCAGGAGACAGGCAGTTACTCCAGGAGAGCTGGACAGGGCCGTAGAAGGTCTACAACCCATGAGCAGGACCGGTATCTGCTCCTTTGAGCAAGGAGTAGCAGGAGGAGCACTGCCAGAGCCCTACAAAATGACCTCCAGCAGGCCACTGGTGTGAATGTCTCTGACCAAACAATCAGAAACAGACTCCACGAGGATTGCCTGAGGGCCCAACGTCCTCTACTGGGCCCTGTGCTCACTGCCCGGCCCTGCCCAATGAAGGCCAAGCGGCTGCAAATAAATGGAAAATAGCAAGAGGCAGAGCACACACCCCTGGGGGACCTGGTCTCATTTGACCCGTCTATGTGAAGTGATTGCCTTACACCAACTTCAAGGCCTGGTCACGCCCCTCCCGAATAATCAAAAACTCACAGTTTGGATAACTTTTGATCTCATTTGATGCTTTACTGCATACTGACCATGTTTGAAGCTGTTGGCCTTAGGAGTAGTTTGTGAAATTTCCGTATGAATAGAAAGGAAAAATGGCAAAAAGTCCTATGTCCCTGTCCTATGTTTACATTTGATCACTGCTGCACTTTAAGATATGTCCTGAGAACTGTACAATACGAAATTTATTTTCTATACACCCTATGTGTACAAAATGACAATAAAGGTTGTCTAAGTCTAAAAAAAAAAAATTTTGACCCAAAATGAACGACTTCCTGTGGTTTTTAGCATATATCTCCAGGAGACTTTTTTTATGATTAAGGGAGATCTATTTCTGCACCAAATTTGAAATCTCCATAGTTTCCCACGTCTCACTTTAGAACAGATCTACTACGGCCATATTAAATTCCTTTAAAATACATACATTTTTTGTCTGGAGAACATTTTCTGTAAAAATTGGTTGTTATTGTTATGGGACTTCTTGCCCCACAGCACTGTTTTTTTTCCATCTGTTTTGTTTTTCTTGGCCTCACACAGATTATTTTTCTAAAGCTTACACTTTTGGATCTTCCAGAAGGTTATGATCTCAGCCATAGCAGGTATTAATGCAGGTACAACGTTTCAAAACTAGTAAATAAATCCTCAAGGTTATGTAGTTATTTAATATTAAATATTGGACAGATTATTAAAAAAATGAATGCTGACATTATTTAGAAAGATAAAAAAGGAAATACCATAACACCATAACAATATAACGAGTTTGTTATGCAAGTCAAGACATGTTAGCTGAAAGTTCTCCAACTTCTGTCTGTAGGTGTGGCTGGACCAGTAGAGAAGCTCTCATATGAAAAAAAAAACCTGTAACCTGAGCTGAAAGAGGGCGGTACTAAAAAGAGTGGTAGAAATCAGTGCAGTTTTCCTCTTGTCAGGTTACTGAGGAAGATCTTAAGCTGTTGCAGGACAATGAAAACAAAGCCAAACTCTGCACCATTGGAGAAAAAGGAACCTTGATCTGTTGCACTGATATTCGTTTGCGATGCCTGGTTTAGGATCAAAGAAGAAAGACTATGTGTCCAAACCAGACAGACCTATGGGTGACTTGCCCCAGGTAAGATAATAATGCAATTTTCACTTACAAGACCTACCAAACCATTTACAGGTTAGTTTCATACTGTTATTACAGTATGTCTAGCTCTGCAGAAGGCAGTCAGCCCCCTGGCTTAAATGTACGTCACATCAACGCAGCAAGTCTTGGTGAAATTTAAGGAGTCCTTTCAGACATTTCTTACTTCCTCAATTCAACCTGACTTCCCCAAGACAAGTACTTTCCCTCAACGGGACCGTTTGTCTACTGAGAAATGTGTCACATGAGGACATTTTTTGAGAAAGGTTCCTGGTAACCATGAGTTTTGTTTTGTTATCGGGTCATGTCATATTGATCCTTCCACAGAATAAATGACTAAAGAAAAATATTGACATGAAAGATGTAAAAGTGCGATACAAGGTCAGTGACTGACTGCAAGTGTTGGATGTTTGCAACATTGTGTTACAAGATATTTATGGAAAAACAAAGGAGAAATAGTAGTGATGGCGGTGGCCTCGTGGTTAGGGCATAGAGCTGGGAATCAAAACCCACACCCCCAGACTGTCACACTGGCTCCCTGACCCTTAACCCCCACTAGCTCCCCAAGGGGATGGGTTAAATGCAGAGTGAATTTCGTTGTGCTGTATTTCTGAGAGTGTAATGACAATAAAACACTAGAAAAAAGAATAAATAAATGTGGAAATCACAATAATTACTCCATATCTTTGTTAATTTGTGTTATTAATCCCATATTTATTTCTCTATGTATTCATTTCAGCTGAGCAACGAAATGCAGCTCAGCATCATGAACAGAGTAAAAAATGGGGAGATATCCATCGACGACGCTCTGAACCAGGCAAGAAAGGAAAGGGAGCAGCTTCTCCATGTGAGTAACCGGGCTAATCACTGACAGATAGAGGGTGTCTGTAATTTGTAATTTGTAATTTTATTAAGGATCCCCATTAGCTGTTGCCATGGCAAACAGCTAGTCTTCCTGGGGTCCACATTAAAAACATACAGTAAAAACAGTTACAAATATAAAAATTTCCAAAAATGTAATTTCTTCAAATTACTATACTTCCTATAGTAATTTGAAGAAATTACATTTTTGGAACAAAAAAAGAACAAGTAAAATAAAACAGCCAATAAAACAAGAACAAATATAATAAAACAGTCAATAAAACAGAAACACTTCATGGCATCAAATGGAGTCTCAGGTCTGTGGTTATAGAGTAATAAAAATGAATTAAAAATACTTTTTTTTTAAATTCTGCCATATAAATAAAACAATTCAAAGACAACAGCAGATGTGACAAGCAGTGTTGGGCACGTTACTTCGAAAAAGTAATTAGTTATAGTTGCTAGTTACTTCTCCCAAAAAGTAACTGAGTTAGTAACTGAGTTACTCTACAATAAAAGTAACTAGTTACTAGTAAAAGTAACTATTGCGTTACCTTTGCGAGTGTATGAAATTAATAACTGGGGATGTCTAAATCTGAAATCCTGTGTTTTGGTTGTTATAGATACTGCAACATGTAGCTATATCCATCCATCCATCCATCC